CATGGTATCGGTCATGAACATAATAAAATGAAATTTCGCATTCACAAAGATGTCCTTTGCATCAAAGCAGCCGATACCGAAAAAAATTTTCTCGCCAAAAATGAAATATCAAGGCAAGGAACTCCCTAAAATAAGTGTGTACATTTTCTTTTCTTGTGATCGATCGGTTTTCGATGATTCAAGATGTTGAATAGTCGTACCCGACCAAAATTATCCCCTTCTAATAGAAAGTCATTTATGAAAACGTATCTAGAACTAACGATGAAAATGTACTACTTAGGGATAAGTAGATTGAGTAATTACTGGATGACAAGTAGGTTGTTGTAGACATTGTAAAGCAATCATTCATAGAATGAGTGACTGGTTGACTGACTGATTGATTTAATTGATTGGCTGATTAATTGAATTCATGAGTTTAATAAATTAATCAATCAGCCAGTCAAACATTCATTCATTCATTCATACATTCATTCATTCATTCATTCATTCATTCATTCATTCATTCAACCATTCATTCACTAGCTCATTCTCCTTTCTACTAGGTCGTTTCATAAGTTCGTAGAATTTTTATAAATCAACGAAATGACCAAATTTTTGCAAAATTCAATCAACAATGTATGTTCAGGTATTGCGCACAACCTTCTACCACCATGCCATCAGATTTTCAGTTCCCCTTTTCCAAAACTCAGCGGGTCAGATCCCAAACAAGTCGTCTAACTAGCGCCTGAAATCCCCTTCAAAATCAAAGCAGACACCGTCTATATGAACGGTGATAGACTGGAGCAAATGACAATAATATGCTAGAGCGAGATCTCAGAAGTACATTGAGTACTAATATACCTCCCGGTCAAGTCTGCAGGACAGCTATGACGACATTTGCCGTAAGGGACCAGTTTTTTTTTGCTCAAAAAAAGCTCACTGGACCTGTTTATTAGGCTTTTTGTGCAGCAGGGATTAGTTTCGATGTGGAGTCGGGTTGCATACAACACGGACGACCGTCTTGCTCTTGCCTAGCAGAATTCAGTGCAGAAACTCCTGCCCATCCTGCAAAAAGTCTTACTCAGGTGACACCCTGCAAACTCTTTGTTCTTGAAGCAATCTAACTCCTTTTTTGTCTCATATTACGAGAAAACGCCTTCTCATAATCGGCATGAAAATCTGAACAAAACGCTCTTTTTTAACACGTTGACGACGAGCCTTTTATTTGAAGGTCTGTCCCTGTGGACGAACCGTTTCCGGACATTTTCACATCCGGCTGCACATATATATGCATGCATCTATGCGTGAGATACACAAATGCAAGTGGGCGGGGCAGCTCCGCCCACTTTTGGCAACCCCCGCCCACTTCTCAAAAATGCTGGAAATTGCTCATTGCGAAAAGTGGGCGGAGCTTGCCACTGAGGAGGTGGAGCCTGAATTACGGGGGGCGGGTTCAAAATCAAAATTATTTGAGGTTCCCCTGTCATCTATGAGCTTTTCTATGCGATTTGAGAACAAAAAAAGTTTTTTGTAGAGGGCAATGGAGTGGGCGGAGTTTGCCAAAAAGGGGGCGGGGCCAACATGAAATACTTTCGACCCTAACTTGATTATATGAACACAAATTGGGACCATTGTGCACATTAAAACTGATGTTTAGGTTGTCGCGCACCATTGCGCGACACCGTCGTCAACGTGTTAATAAGAAAAAGCTTCTTTTTCTCTTTTGAGAATTCCTTCTTTGGAAGCTGAGGCATCAAAGCAAATCAGTTTTTCATAGAAGACAATTAGTCTGTTCTGAAGAGTATGATCAGCTCTTCTCGATGATAACCGCATCTTGCCGCAAATCAATCGCTCTTCATAGAAGTGAGAACGAGAATGAAAACTCTACGAACTTATGAAATTACTTAGTAATATAAGCTATATTTGTATTAGTTATGTCAGTAATTATTATTATATTATTTGTTATTATTATTATCATATTTATATTAATTATATTTATTTTCTATTTTTATCGTTTAAGTTATATTCTCCTTTTTATTTCATTCACTCACTCACTAACTCATTTATCTATCTAGTCATTCATTCATTCACCCAATAATGTTTAGTTATTTATTTATTTATTTAATCATTCATCCATTACTATCAATCAACTTCTGAGGCGCAAACAATCTAAGGATCAGGTTTGAAAGAGTGAAAAAAGTAGAAGAAAAGGATGTGATGATAACTCAGGAATGAAAATGACGATAAGTTAGAAAGAAGCAGTAGGGGCGAGATGCCAGGAGAAAATAAACGCACAGACGACACATTGTTCAACATTTGCACTGCCAACGACGCCATCTGCGATGATTCACTCCAGAAGTATGGAGATATGTATCGATTGTATTGTTAGAATTGTTCAGATGTCCACGATGACTCAGCGTTGAATGATACTCTCAGAAAATGTGTTCGCCGCTCTAAATTTACTGGTGTCTAGGCGCATTAGGGGAGGGGGACAATTATTAGGGTGTAGATAACTGCTCATCCATTCAGTTCCAAGTTATATGGCAATATGCAATTGGGGACTTTTATGTAGTCCATAGCTCAATCTTCATATCGTCGAACGTAATATACATAGAAAAATTACATTGTATCCATTCCTGCAAGAATAAAATATTTTGTCCAAGCCTGTGCGTGAGGTGTGCCTTGATTGGAATGTGAAAATGAAATTGTTTATCTATTTTAATCCTCGCTATTCATTAAAACAATCGTTGGAAGAAGGCGACAAATTATTGTGGCAGCGGACAAACTGGCACAAGCCTGTAATATCTAGAGATGCGTGTTTGTTGCAAATGCTTGCGCAAGATCTCTACACATTTCGTTCCTTGTTTCGAATTTGTAGCGCTTGGCATATTAGAAAGTGCACAAAAAGCGTTAAAACCCACGAAAGAAAGTAATAAAGAAAAAGGAAAAGAATGAGACGGTGGGGTGCTCTCACAAAAGTTACTACTCTCGAGGAATAGCATTCAAATTGGCCAAAAGTCGTTTAGCGAACTTATCTTTCAAAGAAGAATAGACCTTTCAAAGTACGAAGGAGGATGGAGGAAGTAATTATGATCAGTATAGCTGCCCAATGGATTAGTACGTAAAAGGTTAATGATGAGGGTTAGTGGTGGTTTGATGCAGAGATGTGAAAATACGTTCATTTTCATGAGCAACTGCAAAATATCAGAGTGGTCGGGTCATCAAAGAAAAATATTTTTTCCTCGAGATACCTCAAAAAAATTTGAAAGCAAACAAATTTTTCAGCTCCCTTGAAGAGGGCGGAAGAGTGCGCTGTCTGACTTGTTCTACCTTTTCTCAACAGTGGAAAACGAAAACAGCTTTCGGTTTTTCAAAAGTAGTCCTAAGTTATACTTTCTTAATATAACAAAAGTTCTTCAGCAGAAAAGAGAACATTTTCTTTTAATATACAGGGTGTTTGGTAAGTGACTTAAAGTACTTTCAGTTCGAATTTTGACGATTTCGAAGATTTTAACGAACGAAGATTTTTTCATGTGCTAAATTGTAGCAGACAATCGCGGCACAAATTTGCATCTAAATTTTTTCGGTTCTAAAAATTTTGGAAGTTTGTATCTGTAGCGCAGCAAAAAGCACGTCAAAATTCGAACTGGAAGTACTTTAAGTCACTTACCAAACACCCTGTATATCAGAAGAAATTGTTCTCTTTTAGACAAATCTATATAAGGCAATTGTTTGATAATTTTTAAACCTGATGAAATGCGAAGTCAGTCATTTTGTCAAAATATGATTTTTTTAGCAGTATCTGCGCATTCAAGCATGTGGGATCGTCCAAAGTACCACTGTTGCAATGGATTCAACTTATGGAAGTTCGTTGGTTTTGAGTCAGGATATATGAGTCATAAAGCGTTTCAAACCGGAGGTACTTGTAATTTGCAAGTGAACGCACTTTCCTGGTTACCATCCGATAGAGCTCTTCATGATCTCTCCATTCAGATGCAGTCTACCTCAATTTCCCTACGTCTTCGGAACATATAAGCTGAAGAATGATTTTTGGCCTTTCATTGCGCCAAGAAATCGCAGATTTTGAATTGCCTTTTCTTCCTGAAAACAAAGAAAACTTCTCAATGCACGATACATTGTCCGGGAGATCATGAAGGGCTCTTTCGGAGCGTGTGTATTTGCATTGTGACTTTACGGTATGGCAGCGAAAGACTGAAAGATGTTCAAAAAACCCTGTTCGAGTTCTTCATGGCGCCACGCCAAGGGTTGTAAGGGAGGAGCGGTACGCGTTACCAGAATGATAGGCGAAGTTCGCTTATGTAAGTGAAGTTTAAGTTGCAGCCTGCTTATTGCTGACCGAAACAAAAAACCTCTAAATGTAAAATGACAAAGCTGTCGTTACTTTCGGACCACCCTAATACATGAATTAAGGAGGGTGTCTGCTGAATGCCATACTAGATAGATAAATGGCCACAGTATTTTATATTCCAGTTAATCGTTTTGGAAGGTAAGCTTAGAGTCAAGAAAAGTGCATGCATGATAATTCTAATTTTGGATTTAAGCCTTTGATCACAAGAGGGAATCGATTTCCGTCTTCTAGTAAGAACAGCACATATTCTCCTATTAGTTGAAAAATTGCTTTGTTGTAGTTTTGAGACTGGAAGTCAAATTTCTTAGGTGTATTCCGAAACTTCTAGATGGAAAAAAGCTGTTTGTTTGGTGCATGAGCTAAGTTTATGGAGTCACATTTACATAAATCTTGTTGTCATGAGATTCTTCTCAAGTTTTTAGAGAATGGGAAGACGATAGGATAAGGAAGCGGAATTAGAAGAGTTAGAGAGGAGGTATAATCTTTCAAATTCTCATCATTTATTAGCTTACGGTATACTGATATCATATCTAATTGTGCACGCTTCTGAAAATTTAGACCAGGACAGACAAACTTGATTGTAAATAATAACTTATTGAAGATCTCAGTACATAATTCTCAATGTTAAGTTTAGCAGACGCAAATGTGATATCTAAAGCTTGTGAAGTGCATTTGCATTTATATCTTTTGTATCTTCCTTGTCTTTGAGGGAGACTCGTCGAAATGATGAGCGAATGTTTCGTTTGGAGCGTCGGATGGACCTGAAAAGAGCGAGAATAGTTTTGTAATCTGAAATTTTCAGATGTAAAAGGATATAAGAACACTAACACACGGAATGAGAATCTAATGGATAGAGGAGAAGCTTTGAACTTGGAATTCAGGCACTATATGTACTAAACATGATCCCCATTTCAACATGCTTAACTTACCTCAAACCTTTATCAAGGGTTTCTTGAGCTTCATTAGCCTTTGCTGATGTTTGTTCGGTAAAGCCGTCAAGGATCGACCTTGAGGGCAACAAAATTGATAAAAGCAACATAAAGCTTACATAAATCGCAACCATCTATCGCTATTTCTTGAATGCAAAGAAAAAAGATGGAAGTGTCTAGCGCTTAGAATACCCTCTGTGACCAGACAGAGTTTATGACTTGCGGAGGCAGCCGCTTATCAGAAGTTTACACTTCACTTAACAATCTAATGCTGAATAAGGGCCAGCGCAACACTGCTGGATGGTTTTTGAACTGGAGCGAATGAAAAAATTTGATATACATGGAAGAATAAAAATTGAATTTGAATGTCAAGCTAACTGTCAGAAAATGTGGAGATCATATAAACTCTTCTGAACAAGAGAAAGAAGTTGTGTAATGAATGTGAGCATAAACTCTCTTTTGTAACACTGATTCGATACCAATTCTGTTACAAATTACGAGGCCAGTTGCGCCGTTAGTGATGAGCGCAAAGATTTGCTTCCATTCTCCAGGACAGTGCCAGGAAAAATGCACTAACTTTCTTAACCCATTGAAGACGATGTGGACCACCGGTGGCCTACGCGCTTTTTGCTGCCAGGGACGACGTGGATTCCCGGTGGCCCACACCTTTCGCAAAGTCGTATTATTTGCAGGTCTGGTATTTTTTCCAAATATGAATATTTTTTCCAGTTTTTTGTATTCTTAGGACCTATAGGCTCTGTCGTTCAAGAGAATGTTAATAGTTGTTTACATAACAATGTTGCATTCGTAAATAAGCACGAAACCTTCCCACACTGAAAGTGTTGTGCAAAATCGCGTCGTCCCACAGCGCCGCCGCGCAAAATTAGGCGTCGTCGTCAATGGGTTAAGAAGAGAGCTAACATGAGAAGCAGCAAGATGAATGACAGGAGTGTTAACCCAATATTTAGCCTAGGAGACTTGATTGAAATCCTCTAATCCCAAAGAAATGAGTGCTGTTTATAATGATATCATGTTTCGTAATCGGGCCACCATGATAATGTTGATCGCAGAAGTTGATTTTTAACTAATAGTGGACGAGGGAAGTAAGAGAATGAAAAAGTGGTAAATTTGATAGCTTTTACAAGCTTGTATGTCTGGAATGAACCGAAAACTTCCTTTTATTTTTGGGTTTATGTAAAAATGTGTGTAAAAATGATTAAGCCATGAAATGAGGTCATGAGTAATTACTTACTTTCTTGCATAGACAGCATTTCGCATGATTCCGGTTCGATTTGCTTCCAGATGGGCTTCCAGTGCGCATTGTTCAAAGTATTCTGCAAAACAGACATAATACCACAGAAACCGTTCGAAAACTGCGCTTAAAGGCGTTTGCCCCATTGGCACTTCTATTATGTACCTCTTAGCTTATGCACATCAGGCATAATATGCTCTTGTAATTCGGTCATTTGTGCACCAGTCATTTTCAACGCCATTTCCAAATGTTCCAAAGCTTTTTCAGCAGCCTAAAAGTACATTCTTGGGCCGATGAGCCCTATCAGTGTCTAAATAAGTACTAGATAGTGTATGAAAAGAGATCAAACCTGTAACTGCCTTTCAGCCCCCAATCGAGCCATCACTTGCTCTCGCAGTTCAGTTTCTGTGAGTTCTTTTTGTTCGTTTATTTCCTCAAATGATTGGGGTAAGATGTGACGAAAATTTGATGAGATAGAAAAGATAGTCTGACCTTCAAGTTCATCAAAAGTTCCTTGGTTTGATTAGTGTAATATTGTCGTTCTTTTTCGAGATCATGAGTTTTATTTTCGTTCATTCGTAGGCTGAATGGAACTATGGGAGCAGAATTACAAGGATAAGTAAGCTAACAGGAAATAATTTTTTGACAAATGTCAGCTATACTTTTCCAATTTTTTTACATTGGATTATCACAAACAATTGCAAATGCGAAAACAGAGGATATTCTCCCATTGAAAAATTCATTTGAAACTCACAGATTCTCAATCTTTTCTTTCTCCACCATAATACAATTCGTTTTTGTTTCAATCTCTGTCAGCCGATTTTTCAGCTGACATGTGGTTGTTGAAAGATTTTGATTTTCCAGCAGGAATTGTTCTCGCTCTCGGAGAATACTGTGCAGCTGCTCTTCGATCTTCTCTTTCTCTATGTTTAGAGACTGAAAAGACAATTTCAATAACTAACTTCAAAGACCACGAAAAAGGCTCAAACCTCCATATTTGACTGCAGATGCTCCGTTTTTGAGTTCAGAGAAATTTTTTCTTGCTCCAATGTCATTTTCGTCTCATTTGTCACTTTGAGTTCACTAAAATCAGTAGATCGCAGGCTATAGCGTGTTTGAAATTATTCTTCATAAAAGAAAAGAGAAACTTTAATTGAGTAAAGGCTACTCAAAACTTCGAGCAAGCTGATATTGAGCAGAAGGAGGAAAGTGTTTGAATGCTGCATATTCAGGCACTTTAATCAAAGATAAGACAATCAAATCGATTGTATTAGGTTGTTGCATAAGTTTTATTACACTATTCAACATAAAAGGAAAAAGAACACTGAACAGAAAAAATTTTCGTAACTTCCTCCAAAAATTTTTTGTTTCCAAATTATGTGGAGAATTGCGGAATTTCGAATGAACATGTCACACTTGAAAAACTCCAATTTTTGAGTTTCTAAAAATTGTTTGAATTATTTTTGGCAAATCATTCAACTTGCGTTATTGAAGAGCTTCAACTTCTGAACTTCCTTCAATTGGCTACTTCTGCTCACGAAACTCTACAAAAAATCTAGAAAGATAAAAAAGAAGAAGGAGAATTTTTGAACGAAAAAAATGAAGGTTGAGGGTGGTCAGAAGCGTTCACGTTTTTTGTAACTCTTCAAATAAAAGTGAAAATAATGTCGTTGGATAGCTTTTTTTCCTTCCATGTATATGTTGAAGCGAGGCCCTCCCGAATTTTCTACACATATGTAAACCATTTAACAAACTTCTAGTAAATTGATTAGTAGATTTTTCCCATGTAAACGTCACATATGCACTTTGCAATAAACCCTCGAACGAGAATAAGATTTCCAATTTGACATTCATTTCTTGCTTTGCACTTCTCCCTCACAGTAAACTCTGACTTATGCGACGAAATCTGGTAAAGGTAAAATATGATAATTTGATTTCTTTTCACTCATCTCAGAGATACACAGTCAACTGCATATTCAGCCAAAAATTTATGTACCTAACCTACAATCGCAATCTGTGTGATTATTTGTACGTGAGTATTCAACTGGCTAGTGTGAGCAATCACTTTGCGCAAGAGGAAAAAAAACTACATGACCTGCATTTTTGTCTCAACCTACTGAACTATGAATCATCGTAAAAATCGAACAAAATTGCAAACGTTGCTCTGCTGACCTAGTTATGATTGTGTATACAACAAGAACTACAAAATTAAAATTTGTTCCGGCTTGTAGTTTTGGAGTTCATTAATATCTAGTCTTCTGCTAGGCTGAAGACGTGTTCTACTCCAAGAGCAAACAACATTACAGATATCACACAGACTTTGCAATAAGTTTGAACTCGAAATGGAATTGACAACAGAATATGAGGAAGGATAAATAGGTTTTGTGCTTTATCAACAAAAGAAGGAGAAGAAAATGCCGAGAATGAGAGAAAATGTTCGGCAACCACTCACTTTTTGACGTTTTGCAGATCGTCCTTAAGCTTCTTTGTTGTCCTTATTAACTTTTCTCGTTCACTCTCGAGCTCGGCTTTCACTCGAGTAAGCTCCTAAAATTACAGATCAGAGCCTCTAAAATCTATTTCATACCAATAAAACTTTGTTGTGAAAGCAACCTTATAGAAACAGCTCCAGTTAACCGTAGAGATATTAAAGAAATATTGCAGAATATAAATTGATAAGAAGGACGACTTTGAGTTTTCAATGATTTTCCTTGATTCACTTATAGCAATTTACATTTGATAGTTATTTTCCACAAATATGATAATTTTTCCTTCGATCTAACGTGAGTTAAAAGAATCTAAGGCAATGGATTAAATTGAAATTGCATATTAATTTTATTTGTGGTACCGATTCACAAGTAAAAATGGGCGAAAGTCTACCCCCTTCTTATAATACAACTATTGATCCAGAGGAACCTCAAATTTTTCTTTCTTCTGTTTTGATCCATGTTTTCAGATCAAACAAGAGAAATAGATTTTGGAACAATGTCAAGTTTAAATTAGCGTACCGCAGCCTTATCGTGCTCTTCTTTTCGTGCTTTTGCTTCTTGCTCTAATTTCTCCTCATAGGTTTTCTTTTCCTCGCACAACATCACGCCACGATTTTCCAATTCACGAATCATTGTCTCGCCGACTATCGTGTTTTTAAATGAGCTGGAACAATTAATTCACAACGATAGTTTCCCCCAATCACTAAAATTACATCTTCGTAGCGCTTCGGAGCGCTTTCAACCATTCGTCCTGAGTTTTGAAATCTGGCGCAGCGACTATAATTGCAGACGGGAATTGCGGATGTGCTATGAGGATACAGTACTTTTTGCCGACATCACCTCCACACACAATGGAACAGCCGATCAGTGGAATTATACCCTTAATGGAACAGGATCAAGGAACCAATCGCTTATGACAAACAAAAACTGGATCGGCAAACCTTTGGATGCAAGTCGATCCTCTTGGTTTTGTCAAAAGTCTTCTTATAGCGAGTGGAGTAGTAGATCAAGAAGCATTCTTTCAGAATGAAGAATCTAAATTCTTCTTATTTGCTTTAGGTGAAATATTAGGTTGTTGCGTAATTTTCTACACTTTCTTGCCTTCCTCTATGTAAAGAACTCTAAAAAATTCGGTGAAGTCCTCATTTGGCATTTGAGGTTGGAAAAATGAAGGGCTATAGGCAGTATTTTGGCAGTATTTTCGGCTTTGCGCATTTCTTTATTTTCAAAAATTCTCCCAATTTTCTTTTTCACATTTTTAATATTTTATGGACTTCCTGAAGAGCATCAGTAGTGATACGAAGGCAGTTCGGAAATATAAGCTTTTCAGTAATGCAAGTTGAGAATTTGCCAAGAATAATTCATTAAATTTTGAAAAATTCGAAACTTGAACTTATCATGTGTATGTATGCCACAACATTCCCCCTTAAATTTCAAGCGAGGAAAAAATCTTTTGGAAATTAGTTTTTTTTCTAGATGGTAAGAAAACTTATGCAATAACCTGATAAATAGAAATTTTTACCTTTTTGACCAGGTGGCTGGTCTATTTTTCTTCTTATACTTCTTCTTCAGTGTCCCCGAACACTGCACTCCAACCATGGGACCAAGATCCTCGCTAGTTGTCTCCTCAGGAGTCATATCGTAATGATTGTCCTTCCTCTTGCCCAGATTCGAAAACTAAAAAATATTCTGCAAAGTTTTTAACAAGTATCTAAACACTGCAATTGAGTTGTGGTGAAGAGAACAGGGCTAAAAGACGTGGAGCGGATGCAAAATTGAGATTTCTGTGTCAGCGATTGCGTTTTTACTAGTTTTTCCAATTTTCTATCTCTTTACAGATATCCACCCATCCAATTTGTTTGATTGCTACATATTCGAAAGTGCAAGCAATTCGAAATTCTTTGCACAAAAACTGTGTTAAACAAATGCGACCATACATCTTCTAAGACCCAAACTTGCTAGAAATTCTGAAATGATTCGTAAGCCAGGAAACTGAAGATAAAGAAAATTGTAATCAGCTATGTTCAACAACTTAACGCAGTGCGAGAAATACGTCACGGCAATGTGGATGAGAACATTTCAAAACTCCAGTAAAATTTCAAAATCAGTAGGTGCTCAGCAGTCCAGTGATAATTTCAGCTTCTCTTGAAAAATGCAGTGAAAAAAGTTATAGTATTCCGATGGTTTTCGCCATAAATTCGTAACCATGGAAGAATTTATCCCGATCCGTTCTATTCCAGAAATTAGAGGAGCAATTGTAATCTCATATATAGCGTAAAACTAACTAAAAAAATAACCGTCAACACCTACGTACCTGGAAAGAAAGACTTCTCAAAATACCCTTCTTCTCCTTGGGCTCCTTCGGTAGAGCGGCAGTGGGTGCCACCCTCTTCTTTTGTTCTGTTTTTGAAGGCGGTGGCTTTTCAGTCATGTCTCCTAAACATCATCGTTTCACTACATTAAGCATTGATTACTCAAAGACATTCAAAAAATACATTATGTGACGTAAGGAGTAATTTAAGAAAAGTCACGAAGTTAGGAAGCAATAAGACGAGTATGCACGAATAGAAAAAGAATTCTGTTCCCTATGGCTAGTGGACCTACTGAGTTTGTCTAAATCTCCTACTATTTATTAAGCAGCATTCTACCAGTCAAAACTACATTAGACTAAAACACAGAATGGTGAGATTAATAATCAAGTTATCAAATAGCAGAGATGTTCACTTTTGCCAAGTTAATAAATTGTAAAATAAAATCTCGAAAATTTTGAGTTTGTGTCCCTCTCCTTGAAGCTGAAAAATTGTCTTCTATTACTTTGCGATTTTATTCTTATAGAATGACGAACTCGACGGATAGTTAGAGCTGGATAATTACTATAAAAGCTCTCACTTCTCAACAAAATTGAATTATAAATTTCATGGACAATTAACTCGCGCTGAGAGATTTTGTCATAGCCAATGTGGCTCCCTTTCTAATCCTTAGCCTTTGCGAGAAAAAAAAACTATTAATCTCTATGACGATAACTGTTTTGGAAAAAAATTGCTTTTTGCATTTCTGGATACTCTATTGTATATCTATGAAGTGCAGATAAGCATGCATAGCTACTTATCAAATATTCTGCCAGAATATAGTGTTGACTACAGTACTTTGAATTGAGATTGTATATTATAATATATTATATATTATAATTTATTTTATATATTTTATCAAAACTCGAATATTTCGTCGTACTGACGAAAAGCTTAAGAAGTGCAAGATAACTTGATAAATAACTATGCTAGAGATTCAAGGGGAAAGAAACAACAAGCAGAGGAAACATACAAAGGCTTAACTATACATCTGAGCCTGTGTTAGAAGCATTACAGCATAAATAATGCAAATATGTACGTATCATTGTGAAGCACATAGGGAACGACTAACAATTCGATGGTGTATATGTAGCTGCATAGATCATTTGTGTTTTTTTTTTTAACTGTGTAATACAACAACTTCAAAAAGTTACAGAACCAGATAGGTTAGAAAGCTTCAAGTCTTAACTAAGCTAATTTTTGAAGAGTGTTTGAAAAATTATAAAGCGCGGTAGAATTATGGTCGCGTAAGTGCCTAACATCACTGGAACAAAGATGTGCGTTCACCTACTTTAAAATATCTGTGACAAATTTGTCAACAGCAAAAAACTTTCAAGAATTGTCAGTTTTCTCAATGTGATTCATGTCAACGGTGGGGAATTCAGGGCAATGTGATAGATTACGCAACGGTTGTAGGGTGGGAAGTAAAACAGAGGCCACACAGGTTGTAGAAGTATGAATGAGGATATTATATCTAGCCTTGGTCAAAACATACTGAATGTAGGGATGCAGAAAATGTTATTATATAGCACTAGTGCAAAATTCCAGCTGCCAGATTCTTCTGACAGAATAGGCTTGCAACTTTTCGGCCCAAAAGAAGCAGCCCAAGGCTGGTCCAAAAGCCTGAGCGATGTGTACTAGTTAGTAAAGTGCGCTGATGCAATAATCGCTCGTATAATCGCTAGGGAAAAATCCGCGGAATCGTCGATGCATGGATATCGTGGTCGTGAGAACGAAAGGGACCCCCGAACGGCAAATCCCAGAGACAGAATGACCTAATAGAAACCGTGTTTACCGCGCCGAATTGCGTGCCGTTCAGGGAGTGTTCCGAAATGCGAGAGAAATCTGTTCGAAACACTCTCCGATAGTCCGTCCGGTTCGGTTAGATATCGTATACGAGCACGAAAGCGAAATTTTCAAATATCTCTGGCTTGAATTCACACACTTTAGACATTTTGCATCGACTATTGTGGACTGTTTACACACTTTACCCACTTGTTTATGGCTTCAAAAAGGTTTTTATTTGCGAAAGGTAAGCACAAAGCCATTAAACCAGTTGCGCTTTTGAGCGGTAGGGTGATACCAAATGGTGCTGGAAAATCTATCTCTACCAACATTAATTTGGAAATAATAAATTTGAATAAAATAGTAGGTTAGATAAATTATGATACATTTTTATCCATGCCATCAAGATATTCCAAGGGAATATAAAAACTATGGGATAGGAGAGGGTTGTCGCACAGTAATGTGTTGCTTTGAGGTTACGCCAGGGTTACGGTGGGGCTACAATACGTACCATCGATTTATTGACAAAACTTAAGTGCTGCTAGAAGTAATTCAGCAATCTTTCTGAGGAAGCCCAATTTCGAAAATATATTTCTCTTGGCAAAGCTTTACTTTGAAAGATAATTGTACTTTCAACAGTTTTGCATTTTTTTTACATTCATGAACTGAAGCTAATGTAACAATACCGTAATACTAAGATACAATTAGCATACCGTACAGAATGGAGTGCCGATTGCGCAGTAAAAGTCATCAGAGTCATAGGAAATTTCTTCTATATAGCTAAGGACTAGAGCTCCCTTACTTGGTCGTGATTAAAAACTCTTGGAATCAGAGGCAGGTTGTTCAAAAATATTAGGTCAAAAAATAAATTTGGAAGTTTTATTGAATAAATGTGCGAATGTATGGTACAATTTGTAAGAACAAATCAAAAGAATTGAATGTCAGCTCTTTTTCGAAAGTCGCTTTGTCGATGACGATATGGTGCAGGAAAGAAGAATAGTAAGACCATTTCATCAAATTCTCGAAAAATCATCCTTTAAATAAGAACAGAAGTTGGGAGTACAATGTGAGTTTGGTACCCTCAACAGATTTTCACATTTCCATCCATCTGCATTACCATAGAAGGTTAGATTCAAGCGATCTGGACACCCAAAAACTGACATCGACGCTCAAGTGCCTGAAAATTCCCCCTTTTGGCTGCAGAAATTTACAAACAGCAGGTTACAATTTATTGCTGTTCGCCATGTAGCCAAAGTTTGTTTGTATTCAGTCACCAAATTGGTCATCTGTGCACTCACTACAGGCAGAGAACGAGACTTGGAAATTCAAAAGAAATTTTCTTAAGGTTAGCCACATAAAGGCATAATTGCCATTCACTGAAGTATAACGATAATTGAAGGTACCTCCCACCCCACATAAAAAATCTCAGCTGAATAACTGTTACTCGAAGTGAGCTTACGTTAGAATTTGCGTATCAAAACGTATTTATTAGCCAACCTATCAGAGCACTAAAAACCCAAGTGGTAGAAATGTCAAGACGACCAGATAAAATTTTTTTGTGGTAAACACTTTAGAGCATCCGGTCAGAAAGGACAGCTTTCAAAGTTTCTGAATGAAACAAGGATTGTTCATATCTCAACTGATGTGTCCAGCTGATCCGTACATGCACTCATAGTGCGCAGCGAAGCCATTTCGAAACATAATTGGAACAGAAACCAGCTTGCTGCAGCGCTGCAAGATCAGATGAAATGGACATCATAAGGCTCGCGATGAACCCGAAAACCTGCAAGTCCAGAAATTTCGATGAACGATTATTGCGGAACACTTTTGGTCATTCAGAATGCTGAAGCATATATTATAATAAGCAGCTAGCTTATCCAGTTTTCGAGTTTTTGAGAATGTGGCAATGTCTTGGAAACTATGGTATTGGGTTGATGCACAATTAATGCATTTACTTATCCTTGAGCAGCAGAAAAGCTATAAAATTCTAAGAAAGTTGGTATTTAAAAAAGCAAAGGGCCCTATAAGATAGTGTTCAAACACTCTTAAAAAGTTTGATACACGGAAATTATGAAATTCCAAAATTTTTAAAAGAACAAAAATCGGATCTCTGCGCAGAAAAATTCTACAGCCCTCCAACTTGCTCATAAAAATTACATATTTGTATATTTTGTAGCATTAGTTATGCAGTTGTATACTTGCTGTATTTTTTCCATAGCTAGGAATTGAAAAAATCAAACTCGGCGTTTTTGGTAAAAACAACTGGATTCTCCCGTTTAGACAAATTCATACTACAAACTTTTGAAAGTATGACAGTAAATTTGCCCCATTCGGGCGTTAGTTGGGAGATATTAAGTTCAACATAAAAACATCTTCGAATGTTTGACCTCTCTTTAATTTTCAATTTCCAGTTACGAAAAAGTACAGCAAATGTGCGTATGAATATCTTATGTGCATAGTATGCATATGTTTGACCAAGTTGGAAGTTTGCGATATCTTGACACGGGGTTCGGGTTTTTAAACTTTGAAAATTTTAGATCTCTTTCGCACTCTTCCCGTCGAACCGGAGCGATTGTTCGAACACCATTTTTTAGAGCTTGCTTTGCTCTATCGAATATTATACTTCAGACATTTTTTGTGCCTTCTTTGCTGCTTCAAAATAAGGAACGCATTATTGCATCAACTTGATAAGTCAAATGATCAATTTTGCCTATCCTTTTGAATTTCAAAAATAAAGTACGTATAATAGGTTACATGTATCTACTGGTTGTTTCAGATCTGCAGCTTCTTTATTATAAATTTAATGTTCTCTGGCTTCCCCTACATACTTACAAAATCAATAACTGTCTAATCTCTAGACGTTGAGATAACATAAATGGTCGAAAGAGTAGGCGGCAGAACATTTGTAATGACCTAATACATGTAATCTGAACTACCCTGCTAATAGTAAGATGAAAACTAAGTTTCAAGGAAGGTCTTTGCATTATTTTTGAAGTCCACATCTCAAATTGAAATCCCAGTCAAGCGCTGATTAAATGCTATAAGTGTTCATACCTACCTCCCTTTAAGCAATTTTCGTCAGCCAGGTTGTGGAAAATTCTTAATTAGTATGTATAGCCTACAATTATCTGCTGAAAAGCTATGAATAGACATGAAGCCAAACTGCATAAATAGCATAGCTATGGTTTTGGCCAGATCTAGCTAGAGAAAACGGCGAAAGTAGACGTGGACTACTTTTCACCGCTAGATTTTTCAAACTATGTAGACGGTACGGATTAGCATGGTAAAAGATTAGCTTAGTTACTAGTCAGCAATAAAGCTGTCATAAACAACTAACTCGGACCCATACTCTGGATAATTAGCACATTTAGATTATTTGAAATGAATATCTGCCTTAGTCGGTGTAAATAAATAAATAGTAAATAAATAGTCTGGCCTTTTTCCAAATTGGTGTATCGTACCCAAGACATAGCTTATTAGAGTGTGATAAGAGAATGTCCGTTTAAAAGCAATGAAACGCCTTGGAACTGAATGATTTTCCACGAGTACGAGCTTTACCATTACTAACAAGTCTAAGACTTTTCTTTATCTTTTCTATTCTACTAATGCTGTTTCTGTTCTTGTTGTTCTTTCTTTTCCGTTTTTTTAACTCCTATTTACGGGCGCACCTAGAGTCCATCAAAGAAAATAAATAAATGACACAATAATCGCTCAATACATAAGCTTTACGCCGTCTTCAAGACATTTAAAACTTGTGCATATGAAGTTAATTTTTCATCGCTATTTAAACAAAAAAATATGTTTCTTCGTTGGCATAAAAGCGATAGTATGTATGGCTAGATGGTAAAAACACGACAGCATCTACCATATGACAAATCTAGCAATAAGTGTTATGATAAAAGCATTCGAGTTTTATTGTCAAGGCGTAGTTGCGAACTGTACCTTAGAAATGATTTGAGCTTGCGTATCCACTGCTCCGTCTCAAATGTAATGGGTCTACTAGCTCCACATAATTATAAGCTTGTTCATCTCAATCCTCAAAACATCAAGAAAACTTTGTTAAGGTCATATCGAAAGAGTGCTGGTGGGATAAATTTTCACATAGAAAGTTCACTATGTACATAGCTTAAAGCATTCATGCGACATGGCACCTTCAACATTGACATACATAGTTGATCGTTTTTATTTTCCTTTTTTTGTTATCCTTGCGATTTATCCGCTTCTATCAAATTTGCCACTCAAGAATATCATCATTCAATCACTCATCCATCTATACAGCTATAAAGTGCATTTCAACTATCAGATACATCTCAGAAAGAAAGTTCTAAATTTAGATCAACGAAGCCATGCTATTCGGCATTTTTACGATCTTCATCGGAAATGGATAAGATTCTTACTTATTAGTTTGATCTAATAGTCATTATGAATACAAATCAGACTTATTCTCTGACTATACACACAAATCGGGTTCTGGGTTTTTTGTGAAAGTGGGGGGAAGGGGAAGGAAGGCCCTACAGTAAAAATGTACTTAACTAACAGAAAAGCTTAACATGCAAAAAAAAGCAAAACTAGATAAGATTTACCACATTGCCTTAGCTGATTGTTTACGACTATATTACATCGAAAATATCAAAAATACCTCTTCTTCCGTACTCGGTGATCAAAGAAGGCAATTATATGCTAGAGTGCAAATAGAACCGCACAAATGTACGAAAATGGAACCCGTGAAATGAAACCCGTCTGCCGCATAATGTCTCCCCGTGTTTGAGAACGCCACCCGCTTGTCATCTCCATTCGAAATCGCCTGTCAGTGCGCCAGTAGATCGTGATTGTGAATAGCTTCATGCAGGGAATCTAGAAAAGAGGGACGATGAAGAAATCATTATTGAGAAGAACTTATTATGAAGGGAACACAGATTATCGTGTTGAGACAGTGTGTAGCTGTATCTGTATGTGGTTAAAATAAAATTTCAGACAAAACCTGAATGGTATTGGTAAATTTGCGCATTTTTCAACACTTGTCTTTTGAATGACAACTGTAGATTTGTTGTTTGCACGTCCTGATGGGAAAATAATTTTGGAAAAAATGAAGGGAACACAGATTATCGTTGCATTGCGTGGCTGTATTTGGATCAAATTGAAAACCAATACTCTAAATTCAATATTGATTTTGTCTTTTGCACATAATTCAGCTCAACAAATGACCACGAACGCTAAAGACTCGTGATTTGTTGGAATAGAAACGTAGCAAAATTGAGAGGTGAATGTGTGACAGGTCAAGGCTATCCTCACAAATAATAATAGCCACTACGCGACATTAGAAGAAACGCTTACGGAAGAAATTAATTGTATCCTACTCTTACCCGGATAGGCATTCGCATGAGAGCGCCATAATCTTATGCGGGATCGCTAGCACATTTTAAAATAGCAAAGATGGTGAGTAAAACGATTTATTATTGCAAGTAAATGGTTTGAGAACTCCGCAAATGTCTATAAAATTTTTCACCGCAAAGCTATATAACACCTTGTCTTCAGCAGGCAAAATTCCTTTAGTAGAATTGTACGATTTGAAAATACCCTCTTGTTCAGTTACCAACAAGCCCTGTGCCCACATTTCGTGCTCAAGCTCATTGTCCTTGGACACTATGCCATGGCAACAATGGTAATTAGCGGCAAAGCAAACAAAATTTCGTTGCGGGTGGTAAGTTCTTTTGTTTGTTAGCAAATCAGTTCACTCTATTATAATGGTGTTCGAATCTCACCGCCATTTGGTGTCATTTGTTCCATGCAATTTGTACAAAGTAAAAAGTTTTCTAGCCCCCAGTAGTAAGTTGTTAATCTCTCTATTCGCAAATACGCTCAGGTGAAACGTAAATTTAGTAGAAGCTTAGTTTTTGCAGAAAATCACTTGTATCAAATTGTTTGAGTATTACCTCAGAATCCTCTATAGACTTGCACCCGGCCACCCTAATGAGACCTACCCGGATTTAACCATCTAGGACCATAAGGATTTGGAAATCGAGATTATATCTCTCATTGTCAACCCTATTTTCACACGTAAAAAATGACTTGCGTTCAAGGACCTTACTTCTCGAAAAGCGGTAAATCGTAATAGCCATCTTCTAGACAGTGTCCACTTGCTGCTTTTACATGAGTTGAAACTTTCTCAAAACTCAGCTTTCTCAAAACTTTCTCACGAGGTGTCCGTTAGTGCATAAATTAGAATTCATCCTTAATACTTCATTATCTATAATATCAATATCTATAATATATAGTGCTTCAACAGCTTTAAACTCAAAAAACTGCACCAAAAGCTTGTTTATTCAATCTCAGCTTTCTGATTTGAACATTTATTGCCAAACGGGTTCAAATAAGCCCTTGACCGCACCTGTTCCTCTTTCGCAGCCGCCTCCATAGTCAAACATATGGCTCATTTCTTGTCGAATTCTCATTTTGAAGGCAACTTTGCTTCCTCCAGTGGCTCTCAAGTTATATCATAAACAGTACTCTGCAAAAGATGATATATTTCAAAATACAAAAGATATGGGTTTGTTAAAAAACATAGCAGAACAATTTTCGATCAAAAATTCCTCTTTCGCTTGATAACGTCGCGAAAGATTGGCTTAGCGATGGATTCTTCAGAGGGAACTAATTGTTCCGTTAATCGTGTACTAAATGAAAATGCTTTGAAAAAAAAAATAGTTTCTTCTCTTTCATGTCTTATTTCCCTCTGGCATTTGCACCTGTGATCCTCTATCAATTCTCCTATCTGCCCCTTGCCATTACTCTTTATAACCCTGGGTGCTGTACAATTAGTATCAAACCCTGCAGTTTCTCTTTTACGGTCACTCAACAGATATTGCCTGGTGATATCGCTCGGAAATCGCTTTGGGTGTCAAGAGTAGGTGACCATAAGGCAGGGCGCTGGCGGAGCTTATTTGACTCCTCCTTCTCCAATTTTCATTGGCATTTTGTCTGTTTGAGTAGTGCTTTCGATGCTTTTACTCAGACTTTGTGTGGGTGTGCAAAACTTATTATTCTAATTTCAGAATCCACATGTTGTTCAGTACTTCGTGCTCCTACACGCTTCCGCAGCTATATGCTGAAGGTGAAATCTTGTTAGTTTTGACTGGCTTTTCATTTTGATGAATGTAACATTTCAGAGCGATCCAGGACACCATCGCTGCTCAATCCAGACACACTTTCTATTAGAGATCGACAAATACAACTTTACTGTAAGTTTCGCATTCGCAATGTGCTTTTTATTACGAGCATCATGACCATTGGAGTTTGAGATTTTGAATAACATTCTTGTGCCTTGTAGAGAGAGGGAAGGGAAGGAGTGTAAATGAGTTAAAGGATAAAATAAAGTGAACGAAGAAGAAATGGGAAGTAGTAAGGACGTAAAGATGATTTTGTAAAATCGAAAACATTTTTGTGGTGGTGAAAAAAATCCGAAAGACCGACGACATATGGCAATGATAGCAAAAATACTTTTTATTTGATCGCAAAAGCCCCCAAGTATTCATGATTAAATGAATGTATGAAGAAAGTTCAGCTTCGTTAGAATGGAAAATTATCAAAGGAGCATGATCTCAACTTAATCTTGATTTAATAAAATCTTCATCTGCAGATTTCTTGTTTTTACTTCCTGCAATAAACTTTTTGATTATTTCCATTTATCCTAAAAATATAGTGCTTCTGTTTTTAGGTCAGACCATAGCAGGACTGGTAGCGCAATTCCATGAGCGATCCCTCACCTGCATAATTCGCCTCCAGAGACGTCTTCAAAAAATCCTTGACATTGAAACCCATATTGACCTAACCACAACTAGTGCTCAATCACATTTTGAGCGAAATTTGCAGCTATTCCGTAAGTTTATACAATATTCTTTTAGATTTATGCTGATCTTATCTCACTACCCTACTACAGTATGCCTTGTGGACTACCGTCTCCGGTCACTTGCACTCGAATCTCCTTATCAATTTGAGACAATTGTCAACAAGCTCCAGTTGCTGCTTATTGAGTCAGGTTCAGAGAGGCAACCAAAATCGAAGCCAGTGAAGAAATTGAAGAGAGTACTGAGAACGCTGTTAAAATCTGTATAACTATGATCTTTACTACTGGAATATTTTTATATCGGTGATTTTGTGACATATATGTACATAGAGTATAAAGTCATTTATTCCACGTTTCAGTACAGGATATGGATAGCACAAATTTCTAAGAAAAATGGCAATTTCTTAATTATTTGCATCAAAGGATCGTTATTTCACATCTAATTCGAGTCGAACTCGCGTAAAATTTCAACGCAATCTAAAATAAAAGACATCTTGGTATAACATGTTCGAAATTAATTGGGTGCTCGGGACATCTGCGGCGATAAAGAAAAATTCTGCGCTCTAAGGGAATTTCTCGCTTCGCAAGAAAAAACTCTTGATAAGTAGAAAAAGGCTCAGGCTTTAGGGTTTTGCCGGAGCAGAGAAGGACGTTCTGCATTCCTTCCTGGACAGTTCCATGTAATTTTGCAGTTCTATAAATTTTGATAAGTCGATGGGTTGAATAAGATCTTTGAGGCATACCATATTACCGTTTCTTCGCATTTTCTCGTACCGTCAGCAATGTGTCTTGTGTGCTGTTACCAATCGCCTAGATGAAGCACTCAAACTGTGCCATGACAAAAATAATTATTTCCCAAATTTTTGCATCAAAAATTTGCTTTGAATAGTGATTATACAGAGCTCGTACATTGAAAAGCTCTGCATATTTACTATTCGAATTCCATTGCAACGTATGACAAATACGAATCCACAAAGCTACGGAGCGATGCTAGTTTTGGACCACACCTCCTCGAGTTGCTTATGGGGTTCACCTGACTAATTCCTATCGACGTTAAAAGATTTTCGGCTTGCTTCGGAGGCAGTGGTAAGCCGCAGATTATTTATTAGAGTGAAGCAAATGTTCTGTCGCACGATATTAAGAATCAGAATCTTTCCGACACGATGGTTTTGCTTGAAAAAATTTTCAAAGAAATCCTGCAGTTTTTAGCCTTTTGTGTTTCTCTAAAAAATTTCTGACTGCAAAAATAAATAACAAAAAAAGAAGATTATACTAGGCTAGCTGTTTTAGAGGCCCGAAAACATCGCTACTCGATAAATCCCCACACAGTAATGTGAATGTTCCGACCTTTGCTATCCTTGATCTTAACTAGGAGGACAGGAGGAGTTTTGCAACCAAAAATGTCACAGTAAATTTTAGGTGTGGAACTGAATTTATGTAGATATTTTGGAAAACTTATGTGAAATGGAAGCTTTGCTTACCTCAGGCATTAGGTCCACTAAATTGGAAAAAAAGTTAAGCACGCTCTTTCACATAAGCTTTTCATAATTTTCAATACCTAGTAGTTAACTGCGCGTACACTGAGCTTTCGTGCCATATCACCATCTGTGCGTTGCAGACGAGCCTTTTTATCATCTTTAGTAGTGGGAAATCTTCAGAAAAAAGCTTGCCATAACCCCCAGTCACATAGCTTCCATGAAACTTCTCAGTTAGCTCTTACAGCTATTTCCATGGCTTGAGTTTAGGTTAGAAAATCATGATACTGGTTTGGAATTTATTGCACAGATTATACATTTTTCGGGCCTGCTTAGAATCATCAAATCATGGGATCTCATTTCCCTTTCTACTATTATATTTGCACGCATGATTGTAATGAAACTTCTACAGAAATGCATGATTACTCTCCCGATGAAATGCGGAACAAAGCAATTTTGAGAGAAAGAATCACTTTGGAAATTGTTCTACAAAACATTCGGAAACTCAATTTGAAAGATGTTAATCACTTCTGAAAGTCATGTAAGCTCCTTCCTATTATCAAACAGAATTCGTAAGTGTCAAGCAAGTAATATTTGTGTTTTATAGGACAAATCGGAAATGAAGTATTCTCAATGTTTGTAAAGACAATTAGTCGCTGCTAGCGTGATAGAAAATAGCTTTCGTCCATTTTTCCAATGTAAGTAAATTTTCATGGCGGGATCTTCGCGTTTTGGTGTCGTAACGTCCTAAACATTCGGTTGCTCATATTATAGGCTGCGGCATAACGAAGGCGCAATATCTTTGGGCGCGAACGCGACTGAATTAGCCGCAGAGCGCATGAAGCGCAGGATTTACAGCGGTGAAGATATGCGCGCGTCGCGTTCGCGCCCGCTCAACTGATAATGCTTCTGCGCCTTCGTCATGCAATAGCCTTTAGCTGGAACTCAAAAAGCCAAGATGGAAAAAGCTATGAAAGTTAAAAAATGTTACACTAATCTTCATTCTTTTCGACGTACATTTGAGGTGAGAGTATTCTATTGCTGTAATCTCGTTATAGAAAAACCACCATTTAAAGTGTTTCAGCTCTTTCAACTTATCTGGAAGTAGAAATTCTTCCTTATCAAGTTGCAAGCGTCATCTGAGCAAAGGTCACTCTTCCCTATAATTATTCCCAGTGGTCGAAATTATATGCCATCTCTTTTTCACAACAAGTGTCCAGCTGACAATTGAGTCCTTTGCAAGCATTCATCCACACTTCTTCAATGTATTTATAATCCTAAACTTGCTTTGAGAATGACTCTAAGTTAGCGTCAGCAAAATGCATCAAAAAGCCATAAAAAATTTAACCAGTGATGAAAAATTGCTGGTGATATTGCCTTTTTTGCATAGTGCGCTCTTTTGTGTAAGATTTCCTTACTGGTGCGTACAAAGTTGCTGAAGCTCTAGCACCACTTTGCAAGTCTGAAAAGAAAATATTTCGCGCTACGTGGGATTTTCTTTATACATATTTTTATACAACTGGGCATGAAAAGTGACGTTCCCAGGCTTTCGTTCTCGGGTGAGAACGCGGGATAGGGGTGGGGGGGGGGGGGGGGGAGAGAAGGGACAAAGTTTGCAAAGTTTTCACAAAGGTGCGTGGCTTGAGCTACGCCTTCAAATATTTTTCTTGGGATGTTCCCAAAGTTTCCAAAGTTTCTTGTTAGATTTTCTACGAACCCTTAACCTCGAAATTTCAGAAAGGTGGCATGACGGCAACCAGGCCTCTAAACTTTTTGAGTGTTCATTTATTTTGATTATTCACAAGTATATAGTACATTTGCACATTCTTATAACTCATATGAGTTAACATTCAAAAAATCGACGACCCATTCTTTGGGGGTGGGAATGAAGGGGGAGGGGGAGACATCCCTCTCTCCTCGCTGGTCCCCACTGTTGAATCTGTATAATCTATAGCGTTATCGCGTGACTGCCACAATTTCGTCTCATCCTTATGTAGAGACCTACGAAAGTTTAGAATGCCCATTAAAAACACTGAAAGAATGTCATATTCTTCATCTTTGAAAAAATGCGACTTTTTACTTCGTTACTTTTATTTGTGTTTGGAAAATAATATGCGACATCAGTCGAAAGATATGTATTAAGGGCCACGCATACTTCACGCGATTTCAGTCGCGGCGCGATTTGGCAATTCGCCAGAAGTCTTCAGATCCTACACTAGCAAACTGCACATGCATAGTGTGAATAACTTACGTGGATTGATGAAATGCCCTATCTTCTGTACATTTAAAATGTGCTTACAATGAGTCATGGACAGTTGGAATATTGCCAAATCGCGTCGCCACTGAAATCGCGTGAAGTGTGCTAGGCCCTTTATATGATGAAAATCATTGAGCATTGCTCATTGGAACCTATGAAACATACTGTTGTGTTTGTAAATTTTTCTCGTGGCTGACTCGAAACAGCGCATCTAAATTCGCTTTACAATTTTTACACCCCTGCGTTTTGCAATTTTTATGCCCCCTGCTGTTCCGTAACCGAGAATCCCGGATTTTTGGCTTTAAAATGAGTATTTTAAAAATAAAGTACGAGTCTTGGTTAAGCCAGAGCTTTCAAGTGAATTTTTTTGAAGCTGTATAACTCATTAGCCGAACATTTCTTATAAACTCCTTTCACTTTTGAACTCCATTAGCACTTCGCAGTATCACTACGCCATGTGCCCTAAACATTTCAGCCCTATTGGAGATTTGTTCTGCTCTGAAATCTTAAAGTGAGGGGCGTCGTTGCAGTGTGAAAGAGCTTTTCAAGAGCTTTTAGCCGATGTGCAGCAAGCTCTATTTACTTTTTTGCAGGTTGGAAGAACCTATATAATCAGCGAAAATTCATGTTTTTTGGTGAAATTACCTGCAGTTGAGTTTATATAATGACACAGGTTACGCAAACTCATTCCATCTTCACAAAAATCTCTCTTTCTTGAGATGAAGTTTTGCAACCATCTTTGCTTACTACTTCCTGTTCACTGATGTAATTATTTCTCAAAATTTGATAAGAAGATTAACCGAATCATCAGCAAACAAATGAGTCATAACAGCTCCCAGGAGTACTGTATTGCAATGGAAAATTCTGAGAAAATAGCTTCAGTTTAGTCATCAATGCAGAGCATCTCCCTATTCTTCGGTCCTTCAATAAGCCTACGAACCAAAAGTAGTCTCACTTAAATCATTTTCTTATGAGATTTGCTTCGCACTTTTGTTCCCTATAAATAAGCTCAGTAAGCAGATGACTTGGAAACTATGTAGGAATCACTTTCATGGAACGAATTTGTGGTGCACTCTTGAGCGAAAGATCGCATTCTAGCATTCTTCAACTTGCCTTCTTGTAAATTTAATTACAGCAAGAATTTAATGGGTTACATAAGACAGTCTTGCTTCAAATGTGAAGAATTCGTTCCGAATTGGCTTCCTCGCGCATCATTCCCTTTTGTTACATATATCAAAAGCTTAATCTTTACATAAATACTGGGATTTTTTTGACTTGAAGAAGCTAAATATGAAAATTATAACTATATGTGGGAGTGCCCAATAACACGAATCTCTCTCAGCTAAAAGGCATGTAGACTTTTAGTAAACTTTAGCTAGCGAAGCTTGTATTGCGAGATGGCAATGATGTACTTTAATCTGAGCACAAGTGCGAAACATTTTCTATCTAATATATATCACAATGAACGATTTCATCGAAGTTGGCAAAAATTATGAAGTTACCATATTTCTTGGTACAAACCTTGTGTATCTCAATA